TGTGTGTGTGTGTGTGTGTGTGTGTGTGTGTGTGTGTGTGTGTGTGTATAGACGTGGGGGGGGGGCGATATGAATATGAACACATGCCTGCCAAGGCCAGAAGAGGACACTGGCTCTCCTTGACCTGGAGGTACAAGCAGTTTTGATTGACTCTCTGTGGATACTGAGACCTGAAGTTTTGCAGGAGCAGGACATGCTCTTAACTGCTGAGCCATCTCTTCAGTTCCAGAAATCTTGCTATGAACCCTTGAGTTTTCTCTCTGGCAATGGAAGAAATACTTTAGTAAACATGTATTTTGTGGGTAAGATTTTACATAAGCCATGCAGTTTGCAAACTTTGCTGAGATTCTGAACAGAGAAGGCCAATTTATAAGAGCAATTTAGAATAAAAACTTGATACTGTAGGGCATTGGCTGTATATATCTTTGACGCTTTTGGAGACAGGTTTTCACTATGTAGCCCTGGCTGGCTTGGAACTTGATTTGTGGACCATACTGGCCTTGAACTTTCAGAGATATGCCTGTCACTGCTTCCTGAGTGCTGAGATTAATGGCTTATCCCACTGTTTTTACTACTTAATCCACTATTTAAATTACTGTTTTACTTATATGTGTGTGACATAAATATTTCAGTTTGATTTAATGGCAATATCACATGAGAATTTTGCTTTAGTGTAACTGTTTACTGTCTTAATTATTTTATAGCTTAATTATGACTTTAATATTATATACACACATAATAGTGAAGTTTGCTTCAACAAATTTTTTAAAAAAATTTTTTTTTCTAAGCTGGGCACAGTGACACACATGCTTGTAATCTCAGCACTCAGGGAAGCAGAGGCAGGTGGACCTCTGTGAGTTCAAGGCAAGCCTGGTCTACAAAGGAGTCCAGGACAGCCAAGGCTACTCAGAGAAACCCTGTTTCAGGGAGAAAAAAAAAAATTTTTTTTTTTTTTTTGTTTTTGTTTTTTTAGCTAAGTAGTGGTGACACATGCCTTTAATCTTAGCACTTTGGAGGTAGAGCCAGCTGGGTTTCTGTGAGTTTAAGATCAGTCAATCTACAGAGTGAGTGTCCGTATCTATATTATTATATACATAAATATATAACATATGATTTATGTTATATATTTATTTAAATTATGTTATATATTTATGTATATAATAATATGTTTTTGTGTTTTAGTGTTTTGCCTGCATTTATGTATATGAGCCTTATGTGCATCCCATCCCCGTGGAGGTCAGAAGTGGGTGTTGGAGCCACAGAAATTGGTGTGAGCCACCATGTAGATGCTAGGAACAACTTGGGTCTTCTTTCTGAGCGATCTCTCTAGACATAGTAAATGTTTCTTGACAAGGACAAAATAGCAATTATGTTAGGTCTGTTGATATCTAGCTCTACTACTTTGCTAATGTGGCCCCAAAGTAGCCATAGACAGTAAATGACCGATTTACAAGTTTTGTATTGACAGCAAGCTTCCTTATTGGTTTAATGAACAAAGAGAAAAAAAGGCTTTATAATACCTTTTGCATAGTTGGTTCTTTGTGCTAATGTACTTTCAGTTTCTTTATATTAAAGTTTATTACATAAATTATATATAAAGGAATTCATTATGACGTTTTCTCATATATGTAATATATTTTAGCCATATTCAACCCCATCAGCCTTTCCCTTTCATTCCTGCTGTTCCCCTTCATCCCATCTTTGGTTAGACTTTGAATATGACTTTTGCTATGCAGGTTATAGATTCTCTCTTCCTTTTAACCCCTTCCTCTCTTTTACCCTCTCCTAGCACTAGATGAACCCCTTTGGTTCATGCTTTGTGTATGTTACACTAGTCTTTTACCACTGAGCTATATCGCTTGTCTTTGTTTTAGTTCAGACAACTTCCTAGGCAGTAATCCAAGCTAGATTTAAACTTGTGCTCCTTCTCTCTCAGTGCTCCACTGAGGAGGTTACAGTTCATCATTACAGCTCCATGATATAAGCCGAGTTATATATTGTGACTTTGTTTGTCTTTTGGTTGCTCCTTGATTTAGAGTTTTGTAGCAAAATAGAAGGCAAAGTTTAGGATGCCATAAGCAGTCCTTAGTCACAAACTTGGCATATATAATGTAACTTACAGAAGCCTCTCCCCACCTCATAAATAAAGTACCTAGTGGCTCTAATGCTGAAACTTTTTAAAACAATGTTCTCAGACATGAAGAGGAACATCGTCGTCGTGAAGAAGAAATGATCAGACACAGAGAACAGGAGGAACTGAGGCGGCAACAGGAGGGCTTTAAACCAAACTATATGGAAAATGTAAGTAGGATATTGCTTAACCAGATGACTTAATATATTGGATGCTATGTGTTTAGAACTTTGGATTTTGTTTTTTTCAGAGTTTTTTTCTAATTTCTGAATTTTTCATGGTTGTTACACTAGTGATTTTGTTATTGTTTTGTAAGAAGTTCATTAGTTTCTGGACTTATAAAATTCATAACTTAGGAAATGGCTATTTTAGGTTTTCTGTTTTAATTGATTGGTAAAAATACATGTTCTTTAATAGGATACCTTGATACATGCATCTTCTATGCCTGACTTTTTATACTGTACTGTTTGAAGTCTTTATTTTTGAAAGTATCAGATATAGTGTCCAATCATAACACCTCTAAATATAGAGCTGAACTTTTTCATCTTGAACATTATCTTTTCTGAATTATTTTGTGTAAAATACTTAACTTCGTCCAATTTTGTTAATCAGTCTGTTAATATTAACTGTTTAAAGCCCAGTTTGCAAAGATTATAAATGGATTTGTATGGTGGGGTTTGTTGTCTGATGTAGTCCCATCAGTTTTAGTCTGTAGGCACTCTCTCTCTCCCTGCCTCCCTCCCTCAGTCCCTTCCTCCCTCTCTCTTCTTTCCTTCTTTCCTCTACCTACCTACCTACCTACCTACTTACTTACCTACACAGTATACTATTATGTAAACTAGAGCAACTCATGTATAGCATTTCCTGTTTACAGGTTATTCAGCACCTTCTTTTGTTCAGGTTGCTCCAGGTTTAAATTTAAAAAGAAAATATTTATTAGGGTTTAGGAGCTTGTGCCATGGTGTATATGTGTGGAGGTCAGAGGACAACTTTGTGGAGTCTGTTGTGTTCTCATATTTTACGTATTCTGGGGATCAAATGCAGGTCTTCAGGCTTGCTCAGCAAATGCCTTCTCGCTGGGCTTATGTTTTTGTTTTTTTTTTTTTCACAGAGATGGTGGCTCCATGAATACTTCAAAAATTCTCTTAAGTTCTTAATGATAATTTAAAACTAGAGTTTCACTGTTCATTTGAAAGAATGACAGCTGTAGTCTTTTTCTGAAAAATACTCAGTTTTGGTTTTGTTTTTTTTTTTTTTTTCTATTGTCAAAGCCAACTAAAACTTATTTAATACATTTCTGAGGCTGAAAGTATTAAGTCTTTGGTGCTTTGCGGCGCCCCCCCCCCCCCCCCCCCCCCCCCAGTTTCTGTTCTCATTATTTTCTATATGGAAATGGCTAGGGTTTTGTTGTTGTTTGTTTTTAAATAGAATGAATAAACATATAAAAAATCTTAACTGCTAGTAACAAAAAAATGTGTGACCTACTATCAACTAAATAGTCTTTGGATGGAAATTATGTGGCATTTAAATTCAGTTAGAAAAATGTTCATAATTGTTCTATCACCAGATTAACTGATGAAAACATTGTAAGGCCTTTTGAATTTTTATTTATTAATTTATAGCTTTACCTTTTAGTTGTCTTTTCCTTCTTGGGTACTTAGCATTTAATGATTTAGACTGTAATTTCAGTTTTGAACATAAATTTGTTGGATTTATCAATGTAAAGATACTGTATAATAGGAAGTAGACTCCGTATTTCCAGGCTAATATTTGTTTTCAGTCTTCAAATAATAATTGTATGTAGGTTATGTTGATAAATTTCTTAGAGAATTTCCACTATGGAAACAGTATCTACTCCTTTTATTTACTTGAATATTCACTAAAGGATTCTGTTATAATAGCTACATATTAACTTCCTTCGTATTTTTCCTGACATGAACTGTACATGTTTTATAATGAACATAGTTATTTTTAATGTTATTAATGCTATTCTAGTGGGCTAGAAAGGATTAAGTAAAATATTCCTTTTCTAACCTTTTAAAGAATCTTTATATTTCTAAACGTAAGTTGGTCACATCATAAATGCAGTTGTAGACTGTTTTTGAAATAATGGCATTTTTTTTGCTTTGTGGAAATTATGACATATTACTATAATATCTCTGTAGATATTAATAATGAATGACTGGTTTTAATTTTGCTCTTCTACCATAGAACTTAATAGGAAACATTACTTCATTTTAAAATTGAGTTATGAATTTCTTAAAATTTGTAAGGTAAATTTTTTGCGTGTGCATGTGTGTGTGTTGGATTGGAGGAGGGTTCATGAGTGAATGTGAAGATTAGAGGACAGCTTTTTGGAGCTGGCTTTTGTATGGATTCTGAAGATGAAACTTCAGTGTTCTGTCTAACTAAGAGTTTTACTTTACTTGTTGAGCCATCTTGCCGGCCCTGCAAGGTTTTGTTTGTTTTGTTTTTGTTTTTTGAGGCAGGGTTTCTCTTTTTAGCCCGGGCTGTCCAAATCCTCACTCTGTAGACCAGGCTGGCCTTTTTATGAGATCCTCCTGCCTCTGCCTCTGGAATGTTGGTGTTAAAGCTGTGCACCACCACTCTTCTGGCTTTTTTTTTAATGATTGAAAAAGAGTAGGCGTGTTACTTCTGTGTGGATGTATGGCATTTGTGTGCAGGTGTGGGTCACCTGGAGGTAGAGTTACACACAGGCCGCTGTGAAGCGCTTGAAGTGGTTGGTGGGATCTGAATCCTGTTGTCCTGCGGAACTGCAAGTGCTCTCAACTGCTAAGACATTTTATCAGCCTCTGGATTCATAATAAAAATCACTTTCTTGCAGGAAATTTTTAAATTGGTAAAATTTTACATCTAATGAACTTTGAGAATAGATAAATTAGACATTTAAAATACTCAGGCTGATTTTATTAGCATTTCTAAATTAGATTGTTTAGTATTTCATAAGATTATTTTACTAGAATAGGATTAGATGCTATATTTAAACATCTAGATACTTTTCAATTTGTTAGAAAAAGTAGTTTTGCATACTTAAAGCCATGTAACAGAAATCTGATTAGAATATTAAATTATGGCCTGAGACCACTGCCCTTTATCATACTACCAAACTTTAAAAATAAACATGCTACTTGTGTTTTTAAAAGATTTTTTTACTATTATTATTTCTTGTTTTTTTTTTTTTTTTTTTTTTTTTTAAGACAGGGTTTCTCTGTGTAGCCTTTGCTGCCCTGAATTCACTTTGTAGATTAGGCTGGCCTTGAACTTACAGGAATTCACCTGCCTCTGCCTCCACCTCCCTTTGTGCTGGGATTACAGGCTTGTGCTACTCTGGCCATCTACAAGATTTTTGAGGTGGCTTCTAGGTGGCTCAGCGTGGCAAGTCACTTGCTTTTCAATTGCTGGGACCCACACTATGAAAGGAGACAATTGACTTTCAGAAGTTGGCCTCCGATCTCCACACATACTCTGTGTCATATGGACAAAAAGACTCCTAAAGATTGTTGGGGAGGTGATTCAAGAGAGTAAAATATTGGCTGTGCAAACATGAGGACTTGAGAGCTGATGCATGGTCAGGCATGTTTGTAATCCCAGCAGTGGTGGAGGGGGTAGGGATAGAGGGTAGAAAGAAGAGGCAGTCTAAGACCAGCCCATCTGCGTGATTTCCTGTCCAGGTTCAGTGAGAGAGCTTGTCTCAAAAACCAAGTTGGAGAAGTAATTGGAGGAAGACATTCCCCTGTCAACCTCTGCTCTTCACTTGCTATCCTATGAGCAAAGGTACACACACACACACACAAACTTGTTGAAGGTTGGAAGTAGTGCCATATACTTGAGGTCAAGACTAGCCTGTCTCAAAACCAAAAGTAAAAGTGAAAGTTCTTGATTAAGAATTTAAAAGCTGGGTTGATAAGATGGCACAGCAAATAATAGTTGCTGCACAGTCGGATTACCTTAATTAAGATTCTCCAGGACTACACAGTCATTTAGAGCCAGCTTTCAAAGGTTGCCTTTCATCACCATATGCGTAAAAAAGAGAGAAAAAGCACAAGTGAGTAAATGAATGAATGCAAAGGCAAATGGAAGAAAGATACCAAAGACCAATTTTAATTTATTTATAATACTTGAATTTTGTTGAATCATCAGTTGGAATATTTATAATTTATTCTTATTTTGAAAGGCTACACAGATACTATATTCTGAAGAGCTGTTATATTTCAGTTATATTTAATGCTTGAGAACTTAATAACAATGGAATTAATACTTAAGAAGGAAAATCAGAGGATCTACTTAGAAGCTTTTGGTTTTATTTTTTGAGACAAGATCTCACATAAATAAATCTTAAAAAAAAAAAAGAAATGGAAAAAAGAGAGAGAGAGAAGGTCTCACTATGTAGAACAGTCTGGCCTGGAATTCATAGAGATCCACCTGGGTATGCCCCTGGAGTGCTGGGATTACAGTGTGCCACCACGCTCAGCTAGATGAGAAACTGTAAGCACAAGGCTTTTAGCTTTATAATGTTACTGTTACTTTAAATAAACCAAACACTAAACTAAGTCTTACAGTAGTACTTGATTCATTTCAGCAATTTTTTGTTAATGTCCAAGTATTGTGTTAACGGGTATTTCAAAGCAGTTTTTACATTCTTGTATTTGGAAAATGTGTCTTTGGAAAAAATTACTTAACGATCTTAATTCCTTTTTGTTCTTTTTAAACTTTAAAATTAGGCCATTTTTATGTGTTCTTTTTTTCACTGTTCAGTTTAGTGGAGTCACATGGTAAGTTGACCTTGTCCAAATCAGAGCCAAAGCAGGTGTTCTTGGTTAGTTTAAGGGTCTGCCTCTCAATTTGTCATTCTCTTATTGGATATACGTCAACAGTACTAAGTATATGAGGCCATGAAGTATATATTTTATTTCTTTAGTAATATTGTAGCATAGGATGAGGATTAGCACTTAACTATTTAGACATATTTTTGTCAGCATTGAACAGAATTATTTTTTAGACACTTTTTTTCTTTTTTTTTTTTAGAATTCCAGGGATATAATTTTAAGTTGTCAGTCTTATTTCATACCTTTTTTTAAATTTATTTTGTTATTTAGAAAATGCAACTCTTTGGTAATAGCTGTTGTAATTATAAATGTGATAGTTTTCA